ATGAGCATCAATACTGAATAAGGATTATTCCTATCAAACTCCCTTCCACTTGTATTTTTTGCACTAAAAGGAGAGAGGGTGAAGGGTTCCACTTACGCTGCCACCGGACAGGATTTTGGGGGTTGGGGCTGCCTGGGGTTGGGGATCTGGTTCGACATTTTAGCTTCTATTGAGTTGTTTTCAGCCTCCCTCCCTTAATGAACAAATAGACTAATGAGCAGTAATGCACCACCGTTTTCCTGAAACACTGGTTTGAAATGGAGTAAAACCGCAGCCGAACGGGTAGGGTTGTGTTTTATGTCTGTGAATATTTGTAGCACAGTTAATTTCATACAGATGTCACTGTGGCCTCCACGTGACAACTTGTGCTCAGTACTGTGTATTTGTAAAATAGACTGTCCACATTGAATTCTCACAAAGAATTGAGTTTTCTGTGGTCAGAATTACGGCAGTTATAAGCCGTTACAAGCACCCATATAAGCACCCTCTGCAAAGTGCTTTGGATTTAATGCTGGGGCCTAAAACCTCTGTATCTCTCATATTCAGCTTTTCTAATCTTGAAGAAGGGCATTTTGGGGGGTTTGGTTGAAAACACACATATAGGTAAGTGCAAGCCAGTCGTGCAACATCAACAGGGCAACACTCTCCCCCTCCTGGCCAAGTCTTTCGCGTTTGCTGTTGGTACCAAACAACCTAAAACCACCTGAAACTAAAAAGAGCAAAGGGATGCCCTCTGATTAGTGACTGGGCATGGGATAAACCTCAGGAAGAGACCAGGGAATTCTAGGAAAAGTCTGGATTTTAGCAGTAGACTTGATAAACACAAGTTTTCATCGCACAGTGAACCCTAAGCACACACATAAAAAATCTCATCACATATTTCCTGCAAATGAGTCTATGATCACTACATTACTCATTAAACATTTCAAAGAAAACCTCTTCTTTCTCTGATGTTGCTCTGATACCTAATTGCCAGAAATAATGATCTGGTAATCAGGTTTTCTAACTCAAAGCTGAGAATAAGTTAATTTACAGCAACCCCTCTTCTTGGTGGATGGAGCTAGAAGCATTTATTCCAGTTAATTCTGCTGCCAGAACAAATTTATTTATTCACCATACAGCTTGCAAAACAAGAACATTATAATCCAATTCCCCATTGCCTTTTACAGTCCATTAATAACGCTCACTGTTGAAGCACATTGCCTTGCCTCAGCCCAAGAAACGCACGCGCTAATTATAGCGTTGATTTGCAATTAAAATATACATAAACTAACAATTTATGGCACAACAAATTTGACTACTTTATAGCAGTTTACTCTTTGATATTCCAATGCAGGAACCTGGGGGGTTGAGACGTGCATGGGCTTCCTGGGAATATTTGCCCATTTTTGGTCCACCTCGGTATGTTATATAGATAAAACTGTGCCCTATAGATCACAGAAACATATGGAGTTGGAAGGGACCTCTGGAGATCATCTAGTCCAACCCCCTGCCAAAGCAGGGCCACCCAGAGCAGGTTGCACAGGAACGTGTCCAGGTGGGTTTTGAATGTCTCCAGAGGAGGAGACTCCACCACCTCCCTGAACAGCCTGTTCCAGGGCTCTGCCACCCTCAAAGTAAAGAAGTTCCTCCTCATGTTTTGATGGAACTTCTTACGTTCAAGTTTGTGCCCATTTCCTCTTGTCCTGTCCCTATCCTCCTGACACCCACACTCTAAGTATTTATAGGGGTTGATCAGATCCCCCCTCAGCCTTCTCTTCTCCAGGTTGCGATGAACCAAGTCCCTCAGCCTTTCCTCATAAGAGAGATGCTCTAGATCCCTAATCATCTTTGTAACCCTCTGCTGTACCCTCTCCAGTAGTTCCCTGTCCTTCTTGAACTGGGGAGCCTAGAACTAGTCCCAGTGCTCCAGATGGGGCCCCACCATGGCCCCAGAGCAGAAGGGGAGGATGAACCTCCCTCCACCTGCTGGTCACACTCTTCTTGATGAACCCCAGGATGCCATTGGGCACATGGCTGGCTCATGGGCATCCTGTGTCAGTTTAGGGTAGGAAACGTGCCCCCGGGAAACCTAGAGGTATTTGATGCTGCCTGAAGGGTTGTTGTGTTGTTAAAGGACTTGTAGGTCCCCAAACAAAACATCTTCAGGAAGAGATGGGCGCTGGAGGCCTGTTGGAAGAGGAGGACGGGTAACGCTTGGAAGGTGGATGGTGTCTGCACCTCAGGGAGACGCATGAACCCGAGCATCCATGAGTCAGGTGGAAGGAGCAGATGGAGAGGGCTTTGAGGCTCCCTTCTCAGGGTTTCTTTGCGTAGGGAAGTTTCTGAAGAGTAAGCAAAAGGAATGAAGGCGAAACGGCTGCTCAGCGCCGTCTCCTAAGGTCTGTCTGGGTTTTTATTTGGCTTTAAGCCCTTCAGCTGAGCTCTCTTCCTGAGCTTGGGGCCACAGCATCCCTGCAGGGAGCATGTTCCCGAGCTGATCTTGGGCACCAGGTGCTCCAGGCTACAACCCCAGAGAGGAAAAGGTGTTGTGGGGGCTCTCAGGGCGTGCAGTCCAGCACTGCAATTAAGTCAGCAGGTATCAAAGGAGAAAAAAAATATGGCTTTTTCTGCTTTGAACAGAATAGACCCACACTAAGAGGTGGCTACAGGTGGGGGCTGAATCCCCATGGACATGCCTCAAGTGCTGCACACTCCCAGACCCACAGGGAAGCTGGGCACAGCCTCCTCCGTGCTTCAGCTCCACTTTTTGGGGGCGAGGTAACACCATCCTCAAAGGCAACGGGACAATAAATACATTTAAAGGTGCTCTGATTCTACCTTAACGGGCCAGCAAAATACTTAATATCCTGCTCCCACACTTGTTTTCTGTGCTCCCCGCTGGTTTCAGTGTGTGTTTCCCAACGTGGCGGGGTGCAGTCAGCTGAATTAAATGCGAGTATTGTGCTGAGGAACTCAGGGTATTATGAATTAACCCCAGGTTCCCGTTAACCTCTTGCGTGGCTCTTTGAAACACGCACAGCATTTAAAAAAAAAAAAAAACCACTAATGGGGAATGAATCAGAATTTCCTCCCGAACAAAGGAGCGCTGTGTCTGAAGCAGGGAGCCCAGGGTGAGGTCGAGGAGTTGTAAAATATAGAGCTACCTGTGCTTATTAATATAGTTGTTACGGTACTGAGGGGAATATTGAGGAGCTGTTACCAAGTCAGACAAATCAGACCCTGCAGTGATTGAAAGAAGCCTGGCAGCTGGTGGTACCCAGGAGGAACGGGCAGGTTTTGGCAGAGTGGGAGAATTTTCCTCCCATAAGGGGAGATACTATATATAAATGTAAGTATTTCGTTATCTATCTATACAAGGTAAATATATGGAGAAATCTCAGGAGCCAGCTGAGAGGGGCAGGTGGTGTTGGAGACCAGGGCTTTGAGGCAATGTGGGGGGAGAGGGAACCACTGCAGAATCATAGAACGGTCAGAGTTGGAAGGGACCTTAAAGATCATCAAGTTCAAACCCTCCTGCCATGGGCAGGGACACCTCCCACCAGACCAGGTTGCTCAGAAAGCAGGATCATCCCCGGAGCGGGGAGGAGTGAGACTCTGGGCTCCGGATGAGCAATGTATAAATCTTTTGCTCCCTAAAATATGAATGGATTTGAGAGATGCAGAAAGCAGGATCATCCCTGGAGCGGGGAGGAGAGAGACTCTGGGCTCCGGATGAGCAACGTACAAATCTTTTGCTCTCTAAAATATGAATGGATTTGAGAGATGCAGAATCAGACGTGCTGGGACATTCAAACCAAGCCTGGGCTTTGGTCCACCTCATCCCCCATGGCCAGGAAAACGGCTGCCCCATCTCCCCTGGGGAGGTGCTGCCCGCCTGCTCGCTCCCCCTTCTTGCGTGTGTCGGGCACACAGCTTGGCACCACCTTCTGCTGGTGACATTTTCCTTCTATCGTGAAAGCTGTCGCTATGGGCGCCTTGCCCACACTCCAGGCTTCCCAAAAATGTCAGCCTTGAGCACCGGCAATGGGAGGGAAAGCATCAAGAGGCGGGGAGAAGGAGCAGCACATCCCGAGGGACTGGCTGTCCTTCCCTCAAGGACCAAGGCACGCAGCCCTGCCAGCATCCCAGTTGTCCTGTCTTTGCCTAAAGCCAAACCTCCTCCTGCCCTCTCACCATACCCACGGGGTGTAAAGGTGGTGGGTCCCCTCCCACAAGGGAAAAAGGTTCTTCTTGCCCCCCAGAGAAGGTCTCCTACCGCTGTGCAAGAGGGGACAAGTGGCCTTAAGCGCGCGAGCTACGCTGGACCTGTTCTCTCCCACTCGGCAGAGAGCAGATGAAGAATGTTTTAGAAGATTAAAGACACTTTCCTGCTTATTTGAGGTTTGCCAGAAAACCAACACACCTTCAAGGTCTGCCTCCCATTAGCGATAATCAGTAATATAAACAGACCAAATGAGTGTCTGATGAATAAATTCGCTTCCCCTGCCGTAAGTCATTCCCCATCACCTTACAAGAAACTCTTTTTTTGCATCAGTCAAACCCAGCCAGCCTGGCAGCCTGGAGCCCCGCTCCCGTTAACATTGCGTAATTAACCTCGAGCAGAACGAGCCCAGGAAAGCCAAACAGCGATTACGCATCTCATTGGAGTTTGGATGCTTCCTAAAGGGCTCACACTAATCCCCCACCAGCCGGTCTGGGCCCCTGCAGCTCTAATTGAATTTTTTTCTCCATGGGCAGCATGTTTAGCATGAATGATACTTAGTATGGGGAAAGGCAAGTGCTCGACACCCCTCCACAGCTTGGCATCACCCTGAGCATCGTGGCTTCACGTATCCTCACTGCCCAACCTCAGCCAATCTGCAAGCACCGCTTGTCAGCTCTCCAATTTTAATAGTTTGTCAGCTGAAGCACTGGGAGACCAGTCCAGATCCTTTCTGACCGATGGGGACCCATCCTCTCTTCCAGACAAGGTTGAGAAAGCCCTCTCAGTGCCCAGAGGAGATTTGCTTCCTTGGGGGCAGACAGCTTCCCTAAGCACACAACCACAGCAAGTCAAGAATTGTTTTTAAAACAAAGCTCTTCCATCCTGATAAAGTCCAGATGCTCATTCAAAACTACAGTCACCACAGAAATGTGCAGGGAACAGCCAAGTCCAGAGCTCCTGAGCTGCCCAAAGATTTCACAAAACCAAAAAACAACCCCCCACCTGGCTCAAAACTAAATGTCTCTTCAAAAGCAGAAAACACATTTGATAACAATCGACAGAGAACGAACAAAGACATAATCCGCTATTTCTAATTCCACAGAAGGGAACAACACAGTTGAATAAAGCCACCTCTTCAACCCACACCCGGAGAAGAGGCACCCACCTTCACAAGCAACTTATGGCACATTGATGAAAAAGCAAAAAAATCCATTTTACTCACCACAGCTCAGCCGATCCCCTCCAGCAGCCTGCCTTGCTCTCCCAACACAACCAAGAACCACCAGCACCCACCTGCTACTCATTAATGCTGATGGCCCCCTCCACCCACAGGTGGTTCCCATCACCTTCCTCATTAGGACACCCCAGGCATCACCTGTGGGGTGGCTGCCCCCACCCTGCTTGGGGCAGAGACAAGGTGCTGGTGTTGGGTCAAGCCATTAAGGTAAAGAAAATGTGTATAAACAAGAGAGGGGAAAACAGAGAGGAAAAAACATGTAGTTTGCTCCCATCAGCCTGTGCTGGTGGCTGGGGACAGCCCAGTGTATGGTCTGAGACCTGTCAGCTCCTGCCCTGGAGAGAAGCTGGGGACAGAGACAGTCAAGAGGGACTGGGTTATGTCACCCTCTGGTTACTCCAAATACTCTCTCTCCTGGTCAGTCCTGTGTCTCAGAGAGCTGCTACGTATGGATCTGTTCCAGAACAAGGCAGCAGGGGCTGTGTCCAAAAGGGAGAAGAAACCCTGTTCCATCACATCCCAACACACTGAGGTTCTTCATACCCCTCTTGCCCAAGCCCCTCCATCCCCACAGCACCTTCTCCCTCCCCGCCGTGGAGACACCCCGAAGGGATTAATGCCCCTGCATTAGTCATTCCCCAAAGATTTACATCCTTCCCAGGGCTTCACACACAGCTGTGGAAGAACCAGGAAGGGTCTTAGCTGGGAAAGGCAACATTTCCAGAAAGCCCTTCCTACAGCAGGTGGAGAAAATGGAGTAAAGGCCTGTGATGGCACCTTTGCAGCCTCTCAGGGTGACACCACGTAGCGCTGTGCATCTGTGCAGCTCCACACTCCAGCTTAAGTGCAAAGGGCACTTACAGATTGGCCACCTTGGGAGACGTGTCTCCTCCCAGGGGTCAATGCTGGAAGAGTGGCAGATGCTTGACCCCAGAATCCTAGGGTACAAAAGGGATGGTTTTCTAGCTGTCACGGGGCTGCCAGAATACGGAAGAATGACCATAAATACCCCCAAATGTTTTTCACCCTGAGTACAGGCAGGAGGCACATTCCCAGTTTCTGGCCAGAGACCCTCACCCACTAAAGTTGGGTGGCAAACCTCCTTATGACAGTCTCCAGAATGATCCTATGGGACAAAGCACCCCCAGAGCTGTTCCTCCCATCTCCTTGTGGGTACATCTCTTCAGCAGACTGTGTTGACAGTTGTCCCATTGGAGCCCCCTGATGCCACCCCACCAGTTACAGCACCATCCTTGATGTTCTTCTCCGAGACTGAGATGGGTTTGTGTCTCTCGTGCCTGGTAATGGCTGTTTCAATGCCCCTGAGACACAACTGCACGTCCTCCCGAAAGGAGGGGGTGTACAGTCCATAAATGACAGGGTCGGTGCAGGTGTGCAGCAAGCCAAAGAGAAAGAAGCTGTGGTTGACATACTCCGGCATCTTCTGGATCATGGCTGGCTGGAACCAGTACCACAAGCCTAGGAGGTAGTATGGGGTCCAGCAGATGATGAAGGTGGCAACAATCACTATGGTCATCTTGAGAGTCTTCATGCGTGCCTTCGAGATGTGGTCGTTTTGATTTCTTATCAAACCTGCCAGGGAGAGCCAAAATAATAGCTGGAGATGGGAGAAAACCAGGAGAAACAACCATCCATGACTGTGCTTCTGCCAGAGAGGGAAGACCTGCTCATGATCTGGTCCATGGCCCACAAGAAGCAGAAGGATAGCTGGAGATGGGAGAAAGCCAGGAGAACATAACCATCCATGACTCTGCTTCTGCCAGAGAGGGGAGACCTGCTCATGATCTGGTCCATGGCCCACAAGAAGCAGAAGACAGCAAGGAGCGGGGGGTCAAGAAATTTGAATAAAGCCTCTTAGTTGGGTTACCCTTCAAAGTGTGCTGGGACAGACCCCACAACCCTCCAGGCTGGAGCAGGTTTGGTCATGGTGGACACAAAAGGGCTGGGACTTGCTTACCTTTGTTGATCTTTAGCTGCTTACTGATCTCCCAAATGATGCGGATGTAGCAAACAATCATGACACTCAGGGGGGTGATGTAGAGGGTGGTGAAGGTGAACATGTTGTAGACAGTTTCCTCCCAGTGCGCTCGGAAGCTCCCATGAGTAACGCACTGGGTGAAGTTCCCTCCTGGGACTGTGTGAAGGTGGAAAAGGAAAAGCTGAAATGGAGAACCAAATAATAACTCAGGGAGGCTTTGGAACAGGCCACCACGTCCTGCAGATGCTCCTGGCTGTGCATGGAGGGCACCTCCCTGCCACTGCTGGACTGGGAAAGGGGCTCTGGGCACCTAACTCATAGCTATGGCCAGGGTGGAAGGGATCTGATGGCTGTGAAATCCCATCTGCTGGCTATGCTGAACGTTGGTTTGGTGGGGAACTGCTCAGGTTCCTCTTGGTCTGCTCCAACATGTTTTGCGGTGGTGCAGTGATGCATTTTTAGGAGAAGATAACAACGCACATGAAGAATAAAAAATAGCAGACACCATTTTTTCCCAGCCCTCAGCATAACACCCTAATGGTGTAGCAACGAGCGGGTGCTATAAGGAGGGTGCAAAGCAACGCTGAGCACCCAACACGGGAAAGCCAGTTTGGTGGTGGTGGAGTTTGTGGACTGAGATGGACTTGCTGGCACTGCTGGGATGGGGAAGCCCTTCTCCAAAACCACCCCGGCCTGGGGAAACCACATGGGGAGGCCACCAAACCCTACCTGGGGTGAAGCCAGGAGCACGCTGCTGGCCCAGGCGGCACAGAGCAGCAGCCCGTTGCGGCGGCGAGCGCGGGAGAAGGGATGGAGGACGGCGGCGTGCCGGTCCAGGCTGATGACCACCAGCACCAGGGCGGCCGCGTACATGGCGAAGAGCTTGAGGAAGTTGAGGAGCTTGCAGGAGATGTCCCCTCCATACCACTGCACCGTCACGTTCCAGGCCGCGTCCAGGGGCATCACCGCCACCGTCACCAGCAGGTCGGCCAGCGCCAGGCTGAGGATGAGCGGCCTCACGTGGGATTTCCTCCTCTTCCTCAGCAGGCTGCCCAGCACCGCCGCGTTGCTGCCCGCCGCCAGCAAGAAGAAGATGGCCGTGACGACCACGCGGACCCTCGCCGCCTGCGTGAAGCGGGGCTCGACCCAGTGCTCAGGGCAGCCAGAGGCCGAGATGTTGGTGTCCTCCTCCGCGACGGGGCGGTGGGGAGATGCGGGGAGCTGCTCGTCACTCATCCCCTGCCGAAATGCAAGCGGCAAAGTGAACCCCCTCTGAGGGGCTGGGTAGTGTCCTGCAGCTCCAATATAGGGAGAAATGGGGGTGTGGTGGGATCTGCACTGGAGACACCAGCAGCAACCTGTCTGTCCCCTCTGTGTTGCCTGTTTTGCCAAACCATCACACCTCCCGGTCGCGGTGACGCTGCCCAGCTGCCCTCTTTGGCTAACCCCTCCCGTAGCTATAGCGATTGCTCACCCAGACATATATATTTTTAGCTCTTTGCAAAGGCAGTTGAGCATCTGGGAAGCGGGAGCGGTGGCCAGGACCACGGGACAAGCCACTGCCCGCCAGTGCCCCCGGTCGGGAATGAGTCACGGCGGAGCCAGCTGAGCCTGTGCCGGGGCAGCCCTGCTGGGTTCAAGGACTTGACCTTCCAAAGGGGCTTTGCAAACAGGGTCCAGCTTTTTGGAAACCCCATGGCCCTTCCCATCAGTGTGTTGAACCTAAATGGTCCTCCTCCATCTCCAGCACTGGATCCACAGTCGTGGGTGGAAAAACCTGGGGGTGGCCAGGAGGGGAGAAGGGGGATCCCACGCTGTCTGGGGACTGACAGCAGCTCTCGGGAGAGGATTGTGGTGGCATTTAGGAGCCTGGATCATCCCAGGACCTGGGTAGCACCAGCTCAACACCTCTGTCCCTTTGGGAGGTGAAGCAGGAGGAGGTGGTGAAGGTAGAAAAACACCCACATGGGGGGTTTCTAGGGGGTGATGAGCAGCGTTGTGGTCCCCCACGGTTTGATTTAATTGCCCTTTTTGCCTGAGCACAATCAACTTGGGGATAACTTACATTTCAAGGGCAAATGCTTCCAGCTCTCGGGGACACTGCCGACAGCCCCAGGTGCAGGTCAGGTATGTCCCTTATCCTTTCAAGCCCCTTCTGCTTTGCAGGTACCAAAATAAAACATTTCCCCACCTTTGCACAAATAACACAAGCAGCAGAGATCAAACCTGTCTCCCCAGCTCTGCTGGAGGGGCTGGAGGTGCCCGACACCTCACAGCAAACAGCCCCCCTCCAGCCCCACCACCCGCACCCCCAGCCTCTGAGAGCGACCCCCTTTGTTCCTTCACCCCCCTCCCTCCCCAAAAACCAACCCAAGCAGCAAGCATCGAAAAGAAGAGAGTGGTTTAAAAGTCCCGAGCTGCTTGCTGGCTGTCTGGGAGAAACAAGAAGAACCCACATGGAGGTCTGGATTTGTCCCATCTGACAGGAACATACCTGGTGTACGCATGCCCTGATGCCAAGAAAAGATGCTCCTTGTTTTGCCCCCCGGGGGTCTCCCACCTCCACAGCGCCGAGTCAGGATGCTCCAGCGTGTCTTTGCATCACATCCTGGTGAGAAATCCCTTGAAGTAGAAAAAATTCCCTTTTGCCAGCGGCCGAGCCAGGAGCTACGGTGTTAGCACAGGCGTCTGGAGGCATCTGGAGATGGTTCTGCTGATGTGGACATCCCCTGCACCGGCAAAGCAGGAGCAGGGCAGGTGGAGGTGGGCACTCACGGGCAGCCCAGCTCAGGCATCTGCCCGTGTTTCACCCCCAGGAGGGGGCTGGCACCCCTGCCCTTGCGGGCTTAACGAGCTGCCCGATTTCAGGCTTAATGAGCAGGCGGCGGGGGATGATGACAAAGCCGCCGTACCGCAAGAAACGGCCAAAATTCAAGATGCTGTGGCCAAATGTGGCCCCATCAGGGAGAAGTGCCAACCATCCCTGCATCAGTTTTCTATAAATACAGGAAAATGAGTTAATTATCCCTGGAGTTAGTGATGAGCATCCCGTTGCTCAGACAACCGGGAGACTTCGCAGCACACACAGACACACACACACACCCCCCCCAGCGATGCTCCTGGACCACTCAGGTCCATGGGAGCATCACAGATGAGCACAGGTACGTGCCTGGACTGAAAATGCTGCAAGGAGGTAATTAATAAGGAGAAACTTGGGTCATTTTGCCATTTTAATGAATACATATTTTTTTTTCCTGCGCTCTATCAGTTCTCACCTTATTCTTTTTTGCATTTCTTTCAGCATAATGCGGTGAGAGCTCGACGGGCAGCGTGAGACCCTTGGGGGGACAAAGAGCTCAAAAAGGCTTAAAAAATGGGCTGTGTGATGCAAGGGCAGGGAGGGAAACTGAGGACACCCTGCTCCTCCGGCCAGCACAAGTAGAAGAGCTGTGGGGATGACCGAGGGCCAGCCCCAAGTCCCCATGGGGTCAGCGCTGGCAAACACAACCCCCAGGGCATGGCAGGGACTTTAATTACATGCAAACAGACCTTCGTGTCTCCCAGTCTATTAAATTAAGAAGTACACAGTGTACAGGGTGACCGCAGGTCCCAGCCTGACGGCAGTGGCTCTGCCTTGTTCCCTGAGAGGAAAAGGTTCCTTTTCTGGGATGGAAGATTTTTCCGTTGTTAAACCTATTCCCACTTATTTTTTGGGGAGGAAATGCCTGAGGTCGAAGCGGGGGTTGGACCATCTCTGAGGCTGTTCCGCTTGTAGGAATGCTCCTGGGAACAGCAAAAAAAAAAAAAAAGGAGGACTTTTTCCCCTTTGTGGGTTTAAGAGTCAAATTGTGCGGCAGAGAGACCAGCTCCTGAGACTCAGGAGATGCTGCAGATGCTGGACCACCCCAACCCTTGGGGCATCACTGGCCATTGGAGTCCCCCCAAACCCTCCATCACATCTGCATTGAACCACCCAAAGGGACCAGGCTGGGAAGAACTCTCTGCTCAGAGCCATGGAGGGAAAATTATGCATCCAAAATGTTTGATGTCCAAGGGGAAGGAGGAAAACAGACCCACTCCCAGCATTGCCAGTGGGCAACGAGCACCAGCCACCTCTGCCACGCAGAAGGGGACCATCACCATCACCTCCGTGCCTGGCAGGGGCATTGCCCACTGGTGCCACAGGAAAAAGAGTGGTCCCTGGGGGGTGAAAAAAGCACAGAAACCACAAAGAAGTTGGGTGGAAACTCATTTATCGCCTCCTCCTTGCATTAACCTCCTGCTTAAACCCGAGATTAATTCGGCCCCACATACTCATCCTTATTTTCCCTTTCGTTTAGCTGTTTGCACCTGCACGAAAGCAATTAAATAGCGAGTCAGGAATGTATTCCCTGTTTGTCCTCCTTCCCGGCTGGCTGCCTTTTTGTCTAGAAATGTCCTCTCCATCCCCGACTGTATGATGCAAGAGAGGGACAGGATATTTCTTAGGAACTGTAAGTCTTGCTAATGCCACAACAAAGCCTTTGGTCCCTCTTCAGAGAGGATTTTTTTAGCATGCCATCACGCAGAAATGTCCTGGGCATGCATTAGCAATAAGTCTTCTTTTAAGGGTGGGGTCCCTTATTAAAATGACTATTTTTCTCCGGCGTTTGCACAGTAACCCCCTTGTGTTTTCTATTTTCTTTTTTTTTTTTTCTTTTTTTTTTTTTTTTCGCTTGTCTCCTCAAAGGTCAGCCTGGATGTTGTCTGCTCAGCAGCCTTCAGCTGAATCTCTGAGCGCTGGTTTAACAATCAGAGTTTTTTGGTCCCCAGGATTAGGAAACAGGGCTGGCAGGCAGGGCTTGTTTCCATACACCCCGGCTCCGCTCTTTCCGAAATCCCCTCCTTTTGGGATGCTGCCCCGGTACATCCCTGGAGCTGCAGCTCAACGCTTGGTCACAGGGAGCCAGAGCATCTCCAAGCTCCCTAAAACGGGCTTTTTCCTCCCCAAATCCATATGGATCACCCCAGGATGCTGGAGGAAACAAATAGAAAGCCACATCAGGTAGCACAGCCCCAGTGGCAATTTTTGGCACGAGCTGACCTTGAGCAGGAACAGGAGCACTGTGTTTTTCCATCGGACATCCCGTATAAATGGGGATCTCATGCAGGGAAAGCAGCACGGGATACAATTTCCATTAACCTCGTGCTGCTGTTTATCCTAATAAATCACTGCCGCCGCCTTGGCTTCACAAAAGAGAGGAAAAATTTGTCTTTTCACCTCTGAGAGGAACTCCTGCTGCTGGGCATTACAGGGCGGGTAACGATGGCTCTTCTTCTTGGAGCAGAGCCATCCCAAAGCAGCACCCACCCACCACTTGCACCCTCGCCCCCAGCACCATCACCCCAGGCAGGTGTTTCTGCCGGGCTGACTGTCCAAAAATTCCCCTTTGCTCAGAAAAACCTCAGTATTTCAGAGTTTTTAATGCTGATTATTTTTTTTTCTCTCCCCCCTCCAGTTCTTCTTCTCCTCCAAACCTTGAATTGTCTCAGGAGCAGCTCATCCAAGGAAATTTTTGTCTCATACTGGACTCGAAACAGAAAGTCTAGTCAGGGACATCTGACATGCAGTGTTTTTGTGAGTAAATACCAGCGTCCATGAAGTCATTTCCCGGGGTTAGAAATGAGCTCACCTCTGGAACGGCTTCTCTTCTTACCCAAAGTTCACAAGGCAAGCGGTTGTGAAGCTCCCAGTTTTCACCCTTCTCATTAAAAACCAGCACCCACCGCGGTGCTGCCTCCGGCTCTGTGCTGCAGAGCTGACCTTGGGCATCAGCCGTCAGCGGGAATCACCCGAAATTCCCCCAAATCTTTGAGCAAAAGGCAGAGGACCGAAGCTCAGCGCTCACCGGGGAGAAACCAGCACCTCATTCTGCCTGCTCACCCGGCCGAGCCTGCCAAGAGGGACGATAATTGCTCTCCCTGGTGGGGGATAATCTGGGTCATCTCAGCCCACCTCCTAAAAGTCCTTGTTTAAAGTAAAGGGAGGGAACTCTCCTGCCCACCGGGCTCAATATTTTGGCAAACTGTGTCTTTGTATTGTTTCTCGATGAAATAACGCTCTGTTTCTGATTTGGCTTTGTAATATCGGAGCCTCACTGGAGCCCTCACCAGTAAAAGCCCTTCTCCAGGGGTTGTTGGGCCATCAGACAACTGAGAAAACGTGCACCCAGTGCTCAAACCTGCTGCGTTTTCCATCTTTTCATACCCTGACTGATGCTCCTGGTGTTGCTGAGCCCAGCACATCATCTCCAAGTCACCCACCCAGCCAGGATGGGTAAAAGGACAAGGACCCCACTGGCAGGGGAGCCCAGATGTCCAGAGCATCATTCCCAAAGGTTCCCCAAATTTACATCTTCCCATGTGGAGCAGCAGCTCTTGGGATCTTTCCTCCATCTTTCACCAGAATGGCTGGACCAGAGCAAAATTCCCTTTCCCTGTCTCTAAACTAGACAAGAGAGAAGGGTGAATTTATCACCCTAGACCAAACCCTGAGGTCAAGGTCAAGAAAACATGGTGGGCTTTGGTGCCAAGCCCCATCTCCTCACCACCAAGTGATAAAACCTGGATGCGTGCGTCGCTGCTCCACTCGTGGTGCATCTTTCCCCCAGCAGCTTTGCTCCCTTTCCCAGCCTGGAAACCCCAGCCCAGGGAATTTATTTAGGAAGTCTCCCTCAGCATCCCTGTCCCCTGGTGCTCCTGTCCTCAATAAACCAGGAAAATCACCCACGGGGTCGATGGAGGGGCCATGGGTCCCCTTCAGCTCCGGCAGGCACTGACCCAGCCAGGGCTTTCAGTGCCCTAACTGGGTATTTTTCTTAAACTGGAAGAAATTATGAAATGCCGATGTTTTTATTGTGACTAATCCATGGAAGCGAAGAATTTTGCCCTTATTTTTGGATGGGTTTTAGTTGTTCTCCTTGTCTTTGCCTTCCGTGCCCTCTTTTATCCTCTGCTTTTTTCTTTTTCACTCCCTGTGGGACCTGCCCAGCGCGTTGCTCCAAACATCAAATATCCTCCTCTCTCTGTGCTTCCAAATGGGATTGTGTGCCCCAAGGCCATGTTTCAGTGCTCCCTTTGGATGCTCCTTCCCAAACATGGGCCAGATTTGATGGCTGGCTTCCTCCCATTTGCTGTGGGAAAGACGAGATGTGGGGAGAGCTGCAGGACCTTTGGCAGAGCTACCCAGGGATTGCAGGAGAGAGAAGCAGGGAAAACCTCCCCCAACACCTCTTTCCCCCGTGTTTCATATCTCCAAGCAGTTATAAAGGCTTAAAACCACCCTTGGGTGAGCTTTATGTGGGGACACAACCAATTTTAGGGAAGAATCAGGGGAGAGATGCCATTAAAACTGAATTAAATGAACGAGAGGAATATAATTTCTACTTCCCCACCCTGATTTTACCCTCCTGCAAGAAACTTGCTCCGAGACAAGCCCTGGGACTGCAGGACCCTGTTGTCCCTTGGGATAAGCATTGGTGCTGACATCTCCCCCCAGCTGGATTTGGTGTCCCAGGGAAGCATTTCTAGGAAGCAGCTTGATCCGATGCTGGGAGGGTCTCTCCTGGGAAGAGCTTATCTCCTGTGCTGCCTTCCCAGCCCGTTCCCAGGAGTTTTCACCTCAGCCCATCCAAGGTGCTTGCACCAGGATGTGGCCAGCTCTTCCCTTGGGCAGTGCTTGGCCACCACCAAACTTCTCTG